TCTGCTGGAGTTTGTTCCTCTACTTGTTTGGGTGTTGCTGGTTTTCTTTGGTTTCAGTTTCTCCTAGACATGGGCTCTTTCCTCTCGCCAAGGTAGTATACATTATTTTCGTGGCAGTTGGATTTCTGGGTTCATTGTTCTTCTCCTTGTGCAGTACGTTTCTTGGTGTTCTTTTGGTTCATATCTTTTTTGATCGGTAAATGTAAATATCAATGATAAAAAATATTTTATGTACAAGTACACCGGGCATTCTCGGGCAATCAAAAGACCATTAACACATACAATTACTCCGGGCATACCCGGGAAATACAAAACAAGTGAAGTGCATAAAAAGTTAATAACTCAATGCTAAAGACTTGAAATGGATCAAGAAATTCGGATACGAAGTGAATATAACTTTGTATACAAATGTCTTGATCCATCTCACAATGCAATCTAAGTTAGCCGAAAGATCTTCAAAAATCTTTCTATTCCGTGTTAACCAAATGTAATAAACAATGCTAGCAAGAGCAATCCTCTTTGCCTTGCTTAGCCATAACGTTCCATGTGCCTCCTTTTTCAACCACTAGCAAGGGTAGTCATAGATTTCTTAATACCGAGCCATCGCCTAATATTCCCCCATAATGTGGATGTGAAGGAACATTTAAAGAAAAGATGGTCGCAACTTTTCGCTAAATGCCCACAAAATACACAATTACGATCAATATCCAAGAATTCTAATTTTTCGTTAGTTAGGAGTTTAGATTGAACCCCTAACCAAAGCAAAAATGAATGCTTCGGAGTGATGCACGGTTTCCAAACTTTGGCTCCCCAAGTCTTGAATGTATCCTTAGGCATAAAGAAATTATAGGCTACTTTTTGTGCTGAATTTATCCTCAGTCGAACAGCCCAGAAATTGCTCCAAAAAGACCCGAAACTGCCTACCAAATTGAACAGTCTGCCCGCCTCTAAGCTTGTCCGAAATCTGCCCAATTTGGGATATGTTCTGTGCATATGCCCAACAAGGATATTCCATGCCAAACCAGCCTGCTAAGATAGGATAATGCCACCATCCATATGACCCGACGCCACAAGCTGTCCATTTGTTAAAATCTGTTGGGCAGCAGCTTTTTCATGCAAAATGTCTCTAATTTCCAACAGTTTCTTGAAGAGTGGAGAATGACATTTTATAGGACGAACCTCCCAAGTGCAAGTCTCATTAAGATTTAGCAAGTAATGCTAAATTCCAAGTCTTTAAATCCTTTAATCCGAGGCACCCTTCATCTTTTGGAAGGCAAAGATCTTTCCATGCAACCAAAGGCTTCTTTGATCCCCAAAGAAATTTTCGACAAAGGCTAACAATCCTTGAAATAATTGTAGCAAGGAAGGGGAAGATAGAAAGCCAAAAACATTCGACTCCTTAAAGCACCGCCCTAATGAGTTCTACTTTGTCGACGTAAGATAAGGATGAGCAATTCCAAGCTCCAATATAAGCCACAATTTTTTCATGGAATGGAGCATAAGAGCTCACGTTGAGCTTCTCCGAGGCAAGAGGAATACCTAAGTAACGAAAAGGCATAGTTCCCTTCAGAAAATTAGAGATTTCCATTATTCTTTCAAGCTCATAACCATAAATCCTAGCTGTGTATAAGCTGGATTTCAAAGTGTTGATCTTCAAACTCGACAATAAACCAAACTTTTCAAGGCAATTCATGAGAATTTCCAATGACATAGTATCTCCCCTTACAAAGAGCATCAAGTCATCCGCAAAAGCCAAATGGGTTATCTTAAGGGGACCACATTTTCGGTGATAATTTAATTCACTATCATTTGTAGCACCCTTGATCATTCTAGAGAAATATTCAAAACAAAGCACGAACAAGAAAGGGGAAAGTGGATCTCATTCAAAGCAACGGAATATGTTGGAGTGGTAACACATTCCATAATCCATTGAACAAATCTAAAAGGAAAATTCAACCCTTCAAGTACACTTTTGAGAAAGTCCCAACTAACCGAGTCATAAGCTTTCCTTAAATCAATTTTAAGGAGGCATCTTGGAGCAACCCTCTTTCTATTGTATTGTCTTACGAGTTCTTGAGCAAGATGAATATTTTCCGTCATGCTCCTACCTTCAATGAAAGTGGCTTGTGCTTGGTCCACAATGTCTCCCAAGATAGGCCTCAATCTAGATGCAAGGATTTTTGCGATCACTTTGTAGATCACATTACAATAAGATATCGGTCTATAATCCCCAACACATGGTGCATGAGTAGACTTTGGCACCAAAGCAATGACCGCATGGTTGATTTGCTTAAGGATGGATCCCGATGAGAAGAATTCCATAATAGCTTACACAAAATCATGTTCAATACACCTCCATGCGGTTTTAAAAAAACATGAAGTGTACCCATCCGGGCTAGGAGATTTATCGTCTCCAATCCCAAAAAGAGCCTATTTGATCTCTTCAATAGAAATGTCCCGAACCAATGCATTTCGTTGTTCCAAAGATACCAAAGGCCCATTGCAAATAATGCCGTTGTCAATCGACCTAACGACCTCATATTTCCCAACAAGTTGAATAGAAATTCACAAATTCCAAAGCAACTTGGTCTTGTGAAGTGGTATACATCCCGTCCTCCTTAAGAATAGAAGTAATGAAATTCCTCCTAGAGTTCCTTTTGACCACCGAGTGAAAAAACTTTGTACATTTATCACTTTCCTAGAGGAAGATCCATTTTGGCTTTTGATAATTAAAACTCTGCTCCGCTTCACATAAACCAACAGCCTTCTTTCTCAACTTAGCAACCAAAAGTTGAAAATTCACATTCATTTTAACTAATGGATAGCTTGGGGTGTCGAGTCAGATGGACGCTGACATTATCCTTTCTCGACATGCTGGTTTAGCCCCAAATTACCTTGTTGGGCATGCACAGAACATGGGCCAAGCTGGGTAGAATCTGGACAGTCATAGAGACGAGTAGACAGTTCGATTCGACAGGCAGTTTCTGGGTTTTTTGGAGCAATTTTTGGGCTGTTCGACTGAGGATAATTCAGCACAAAAATAGCCTATAATTTCTTTAGGCCTAAGGGTACATTCAAGACTTGGGGAGCCAGATTTTGGACACCATGTATCACTCCAAAGCATTCCTTTTTGCTTTGGTTAGGGGTTCAATCTAAACTCCTAACTAAAGAAAAATTGCAGTTCTTGGATATTGACCGTAATTGTGTATTTTTTGGGCATTTGGCGAAAACATGTGACTATAAATTCTTTAAATATTCCTCCACATCTACATTATGGGGGAATGTTAGGTGATAGTTCGACATCAAGAGATCGATGACAACACTTGCTAGTGCTCTAAAGTGGTTGAAAAAGGAGGCCCGTGGGACGTGTGGCTAAGTAAGGCAAAAAGGATTGCTCTTGCTAGCACTGTATATAACATTTGGTTAACACGAAATAGAAAGATTTTTGAAGATCTTTTGACCAACTTGGATTGCATTGTGAGACGGATCAAGACACACGTATAAAAAGTTATGTTCACTTCGTATTCGGATGTCTTGATCCATTTCGAGTCTTTAGCATTGGGTCATTGACTTTTTATGCACTTCACTTGTTTTGTATTTCTCGGCTATGCCCAGAGTAATTGTATGCGTTAATGGACTTTTGATTGCTCGAGAATGTCCGGTGTACTTGTATATGGAACATTTTTTATCAATGATATTTATATTTACTGATCAAAAAAAAAAAAAATTGACAAACTTTAACAACTTTGCTAGAGTAGGGATAAACAAGAGCAGAGATCATACCACGTGTTCAGTAGAGCATATATGTGACCATTAATAGTAATCCCAACCCATTCATTTTAACTTCGAACAGCAAGTTATAGAATTTTCATTATGCATTAGGAAAGTCAGTTCCAAACTAGAAGACTACCAAGTATTCATAGACATCACTACATTTGCTGCTGAAAAAATATTCCTGCCTTCCAGTAATGCTAAATTATTTTACATGGTGAATGTCAGGTGATGACACTCTTTAAACTTCAAGACCTGTGCTTTAATAGAAACTTAATCTTTCTGACCATCTTGAAGTATAAAAAGTCAATTAAATTCTACCGATAGATTATCTTTTCTTCCTTTTTCCATTTCTTTTTCTTTATCTCCATTTTATGATGGGGAGGCTGACCCAAGAAGCAACATATCATCAGAAGAAAATACCCGCCATCCCTTATCAAGTAAAAGTTTCCCCTTAGCAAGCAAAGTCGGTGTAGCATAAATGCCCGATAGTGCACAACCTCGACTCTGAAATAAAAAGTCAATAATAAATCTGCTCACATAGACCTCTAAAAAATGGACAGCACTAGGCATATAGGGATTTCATCATAAGGTCAACCAGGGGTGGTGATAAAATCCCCTGTACACTTGATAATTTCCCTAAAAAAGTATCTCGATAGTTACTACTATTCTTTTCTAAGATCCCGTTTGATCCCTTTAAAATTCATCAATTTAATTTAATTTAAATTTTGCTCTCTTTTATTTTCAACCACACAATCTTCAATAAAATAATATTACACGTAAATCGAAAATTTTTCATTTAAAAAAAAAAAACCTATTCCACCATTATAAATCCAAATAATTGGTGGGGGGGGGGGGGGGGGGGGGGGGAAAGGGGGGGTTGGGTTTTTTTTTAAAAAAAAAAATTTTTCCCTTTTTTTGAAAGTTAAATTCAC